TTATCATTTTATGGGATGGCCTTGATAAATTTGAGCTGTTTTGACTAAAATGTTATCATGTAAGCATGTTTGTATATGTCTGTAAATAGATATGTGGAAAATCTATTTATAGATATATATTGTTGGATATGTATATTTTAATATATCTCAATCTAAATATGGAACATATATATACATGGGTAGATAGATAAACATTCTTCAACTTAGCATGATAAGTTTACAATTGCTTGCCTTTAAAATGGTGATAAGACACACATTCACCAGAAACCATGCTTCTTTGTTTGCATTTGATCTTTTCCTGGACTAGTGATATGTAGAGCGATATTCTTTGACTGGACAGTAGCAGTAAGCTATAGCTCCCAGGCAGCCATGGATCAGACTAGTAATGAACTAACACAATACACTGTACTGTATTGTTAAACTATAATGTTTGGTAGATTAGTAGTATTAAAAACATTTTACAGGCCGGCGCTGCGGCTCACTAGGCTAATCCTCCGCCTTGCGGTGCTGGCACACCGGGTTCTAGTCCCGGTCGGGGCACCGGATTCTGTCCCGGTTGCCCCTCTTCCAGGCCAGCTCTCTGCTGTGGCCAGGGAGTGCAGTGGAGGATGGCCCAAGTGCTTGGGCCCTGCACCCCATGGGAGACCAGGAGAAGCACCTGGCCCCTGCCTCCGGATCAGCGCGGTACGCCGTCCACAGCGCACCAGCCGTGGCGGCCATTGGAGGGTGAACCAACGGCAAAGGAAGACCTTTCTCTCTGTCTCTCTCTCTCACTGTCCACTCTGCCTGTTTAAAAAAAAAAAAAACATTTTACACTCAAGACATCATCAATGTACAAGGGGTTTATCAGGATATAACCCTCTTGTAAGTAAGGAAGCATCGATATCTATTTATAGATAACCCTCTTGCAAGTAAGGAAGCATCTATATCTATTTATAGATACAGATATAGCCACACAGAATTCCTTAAACAGTTTTATGAATGACCTTCAGGAAAACATAAAAGGTAATTATATTATTAAAATAGTTCTCACATACACACAAATATCAATATTTCCAGTCACTAGCCAGGAGACAGAAACAAATGAGGAGATTGTGAATGAATATTAGTTTGGCCCCAATGGGTAAGAAGTATTTTCAATGTCAGTTTTGAACAGCCTGCTATCTATTTCTTAAATATGGTTCATTTCCTTTATAACTTGAGAAGTTTCAGGTTAGATCATATTGTAGCAGCATGAATTCTCATGCCCCCATTAATACTGGACAAGTTACATGTCTTTGCCAAGGCAACACTTCTGGTGTCTGCTATGGCAAGACAAAATGGCAAGGCCCCTGGAGGCCTGTGCCTTTTCCAAGAACCCAGAGCAGAGAGGAAACAAGAGAGGAATTTCTTACCTTTCTTGATACAACACACTGCAACCCTACTCAGATAGAATCATCCTCTGCATAGGAAATAATTATGAAAATAACATGTAACTAAGGCTTAATGTAGCTTATCCATGTAGCAGAAATTTAAAGCAATGAATTGCCCATGTGTAATAATAAATTAACTCATTAAAATAAAATTACTTAAGATCATGTATACTTCATGCTGCCAAGGAAAAACTCCTGTGACAGATGAGGAACCAACAGATAAAGTCACCTGTCCTTTCTATGTCAGAAGCTTAATCAACATACATTTTTTTTGCTTTATAAAATTGCACCATTTAATTCTTTAAGGTACTTAGCCTATGCACAAGTTGTGGAAGGTTTGATGTTGTAATATCAAAATAGCTAGGACATTTAGTCCTCTTCACAAAGAAAAGAGGCCCTTTCAATTTTGCTGCAGTTGCAAAGGAAAGGGAAAGACAGAATTCTGCATGTCCATTTGTATCCCCTAACTCTCAAACTCACCATCAAGAAAGTAATTTCTGACAGAAAGAGAAAGTATTTAAAAGATGGGAGAAAACATGAGTGTTAAGTTAATTCATGCCTATGGTCACACTAGGAAAAAAAAAAAAAAAGGAAGAAGGAAGAATTATTTTTCCTTACTAAATCAATAAAAAGAACAGTGTTCAAAAAAATAAAAATTATTTAAAAATTAGACTATAACTTCACAACATTGACATTTCATCAGTAGGATGTTAGGTTCATGAGAGCCAAGTTATCATCTGTCTTAGTGATAACTATATCCCCTAAACATAAGACATTGCCTAAATCATAGAGTATGCCCCTTATTTCTTTGACTTCTGTGTTCAAAATACATATGACTTTTCAATTTTCACTAATATTTCAGTTGAATGTAGAAATTATCAGGTGGGAAGTTAGAACAGATTTTGGGGTAATATATTTTGAGTTGATGTTCAGTTGAGAGTAAACTTTTGCCTCTATACATGGAAAAAAAATGAAAGGCAGAATAAAAATTTAAGAGTAAAACATTGGAATAATAGTGTAAAGTTTTCTAAAAGTTCCATCAGGGTCAGCACATGATGAAGGAATAAGTTTCTAGATCTATTCACAATCATAGACAAATGGATCTCAAAGTTTGGAAAACATTATGCTGAGTGAAATAAGCCAATCCCAAAGGGACAAATACCACTTATTCTCCTTGATAGGTGACAACTAACTGAGCACCAAAAAGGAAACCTGATAAGTGAAATGAACACTATGAGAAACAGTGACTTGATCAGCCCTCACCCTGACTGTTGATGAGCAACTTGATATGTTATCCTTCTTAGTATTTTTTTTTCTTTGTTCTACTTAATACTTTTGGTTGAATACTGTAATCATTACACAATTCTTCTTAAGTGCTGAAACATAACTGAAAAGTGATCACTGTTAAATATAAGAGTGGGAATAAGAGAGGGAAGAGATGTGCAATTCGGGACATGCTCAAGCTGACTTACCTCAAACGGTAGAGTTAGAAACATACCAGGGGATTCCAATTCAATCCCATCAAGGTGGCATATACTAATGCCACCTCACTAGTCCCAGTGATCAATTTCTGTTCACAATTGATCATAATGATAGGACTAAGAACCAAAGGGATCACATAAACAAGAATAGTGTCTGCAAATACTAGCTGTTAGAATAAAAAAGGGAGAGAATGATCCAACATGGTAAGTGAGATACACAGCAGACCCATAGAATGGAAGATGCCCTAAACAGCACTCTGGCCTCAGAATCAGCCCTTAAGGCATGCGGATCAGGCTGAAAATCCCATGAGAGTATTTTAGGCATGGAAAGCCAAGACACTCTGGAGAAAAAAAAAAAAAAAAAAAAAAAAAAAAAAAAAAAAAAAAACAACTAAATGAAAGATCTCCCGCAAGTGAGATCCCAGTGGAAAGAACGGGTCATCAAAGAGGGAGGTACCTTTCTCTGAAGGGAGGAAAGAACTTCCACTTTGACCATGGCCTTGTCTAAAAATGATCAGAGTCAGTGAACTCGGGGGGCTTCCATAGCCTTGGCAGCTCATGACAAGAGCCTAGGGTGATTGCTGATGCCATAAACAAGAGTGTCAAATTGTTAAGTCAACAATAGGAGTCACTGTGCACTTACTCCTCATGTAGGATCTTTGTCCTTAGTGTGCTGTACATTGAGATTTAATGCTATAACTAGTACTCAAACAGTATTTTTCACTTTATGTTTCTGTGTGGGAGCAAACTGTTGAAATCTTTACTTAATGTATGCTCAACTGATCTTCTGTATATAAAGAGAAACGAAAATGAATCTTGATATGAATGGAAGTGGAGAGGGAGTGGGAAAGGAGAGGGTTGCGGGTGGGAGGGACGTTATGGGGGGGAAGCCATTGTAATCCATATTCTGTACTTTGGAAATTTATATTCATTAAATAAAAGTTTAAAAAAAAATAGAAGAATCAAAGTGAACAGACTTCCCCATAACATTATCACTTATTAGATAGCAAATGCATTTTATGTTTTTAGAGATGATAACTTGAATTTAGAATTTGATAGCCATGTGCTATTTACAGCTGGTACTTATCTCACCATGTCTAGACATTATTCTAAGAACCCTGAATATACCCACTGACTTAATGCTGTGAGTTAGATAAATTAATAACCTCATGTGTTGAATGAGGACTTTGAAGCACTAGGGGATAAGTAATTGTGTCAAAGTCTCCTAATGGTAATACTAGAATCCAAACATTGAGACTCTGGCTTCTAGAGTCTGACTGCTAATCACATTTCTATTCTGCTCCAGGATATGCATTTCAAATGCAACTGCAAAATGCATGGGTTGATTATGCAAGTACTCAAAATATTTCCCAGTATTTATCTTTTTCAGGGGTAAAAACAAACTTGTAGCTAGGAAACTAATAATTTCAATCCAATAAGTAGGTAAGGATATTATTAGGTTTAAAAATTAAAATTCTTAACACAGAAAAGTGTTCAGGGAATAATCACATTCATGGCTGTGGAACTTGCCCAGAAATCAGTGGTCTAAATCAGAAAGTGGTTAGTTTTGTTGTTTACAGAGAAGTTAAGAGAATTAATTATTTTATAACACAGGGAGTTGATACTATAAAAGAAGAAACTTCAGGAAAAAACAAAATAAACTTTTTAAACAAAATAAGTTTTTTTGAATTAAAATGTTAAATCTTTATTGTTTACTTATAATTGACAAATAATAGTTTATAATATTTATGGAGTACAATGTAATGTTATGATTTGTGTATACAGAAAGACTAAATCTACTTAAACATATTTAATATGAGGTTAAAGAGATTCTGTTACATTTTAACCTAACTACCTAAAATTTCAATTAGGACTTAGTCATGGAAAACAGTATATTGAATTAATCATGTAACATACTAAAGGCACCTATTCAAGGTCAGGAATCAAGCTTCTCCTATAGGCCAATATTTTATAGGAGTTGTTTATGCAGTTAGCTTTCAGAAGATGTGGAATATAAACATGCATTAGTAAACTATGCTTTAATAGAATTCTACTTAAATTATTCCAACCCTGTGTATATATATGTGTACATATATATATATATATGTATATATATTCCTGCATGTATACACACATATATGTACGTATATATATATCAGTCTCCTATGCAGAGAGTAAAGGTATAATTTGCATTTGAGTTTGTGTTCTGGTTTGCACACACATACTCATCACTAACTTGTAGTATTTTCTTAAGCTTCTGCCTTATATGTTTTTCCCTGAAGATGCCTTAGATTTGTAGATCCTACTGTTTTTCTAGTTTACAACGTTGAGAATCTGATAAGCATGCTAAATACTCTCCCTTCTCCACCTCCAAGTGTTACACAGATGTAAAACTGCACATACTTTTTAAAGGGTTCATAGACCCCTCTAAAGAAACCAGATACACAATATTATGGCCACCTTTCAGTGACATTGAAACAATTTAATTCTTTCTATAGGAACACAGACTGTTATACAATTGTAAATTATTCACAAATTTCACTCCCCGCCCCAATCATGTTACCTGGTTTGACAGGTGCGGACTGAGAAGGTGGAATCTGCACTGTAACTCTTTGGCTTGTCATTGACACTGGAGTTGCAACTTTATTTGGGACAGACACTGTTTGTGGGGTTGCTGTGTTTATAATTAACAGACCATGTTAGTTAGATGACTTACTATACAGATTTATACTCTGAACTCTTTGGCTTGCCAGGTACTACCTTCAAAGCACAAGAAGCCAATGAAAAATGAAAAAAAAATCATTAGAATTAAGAGCAAAGTAATTTTTAAAAAGTGTACAAGTTGTTTAGGTGCTACAAAATTCAGTAATAGTGTGGTGGTAAAGAATGTAGGCTGTGAGGCCTACCTGCTTGAGTTTGAATTCAAGCTCTAATACCCCATTAGCTCAGTGTTCTTGGGAAAAAGATTTAATCTTTTTGTATCTCAGTTTTCTCATCTGTAAAATGGAGATAATAGTACCCATTTCATAAGTCTTGTGAGCATTAACACTCCATGTAAAGCTCTTCACACAGCATCTACAGTAGGAGTGGTAGGCCTGCTATTGACAGCACCAACATTTAATCGTGGAACTAGTCGGCCTTGGTTAGGTCCCTTTTTAATTAAGGACTTCAGCCTGTAGTTTGGAGCTGTTAAGCAGTATCTATAAGGTGGAAGTCTGGGTCCTGCATATGGTTTAATTAGTGGCAAAGGGGTTTGATTTTTCTGTCTTGCAATATCCAGCAAGAAATCTCTTGGAGGAGGAGAGGTAAAAGACTGGTCAGCACGACACTGGATTGCCAGTCTCACATCATCTGCATCAACATTAGGTTTCTTAGCATGGCTTGAATAAATTTTTGCATCATCCAGAATTGTAGTCACATATCGGAAAGCAAATTCCAACATTTGATTTATGACCCTTGGTTCATACTCCGTGATTCCCATATCCTTCAGGATCTGTGCCATCACCAAAGAATCTGTCGGAGCGTTCTTGGGAGGTGCCATCTTGCCCGACTCCATGTTATCCTGACCTAAACAAAATAAGTTTTAAAACCTAACCATATAAAAATATCTGAATTCAAATATTAAGCAAGGTAAAATGTACTGTGATTCTTAATCATTGATGGAGTTTAAGGAGCGATAATTCTTCACAGTAGAAATCTCCTCCTTGGAATTGTCCAGAATAATAGTACAATATTTCTTTCTAAAGGTCCAACAAAAGTACTTAGTTCTGCAATAAACTATAATTTCATAATTACAATAGTGTAAATGCTGTATAGTTCTTATTTTGATCTGTGGATTTAACTAATTCACAAATCAAAAAAGAATTAATTATGGTTGTCACAAAATATATCTATTAAAGCTTAAGAAAGCTGGGGCCAGTGCTGTGGCACAGCAGGTTAAAGTCCTGGCCTGAAGCGCCAGCATCCTATATGGGCACCGGTTCTAGTCCTGGCTGCTCCTCTTCCAATCCAGCTCTCTGCTATGGCCTGGAAAAGCAGTAGAAAATGGCCCAAGTCCTTGGGCCCCTGCACCCACGGGGCAGACCCGGAAGATGCTCCTGGTTCCTGGCTTCGGATCTGCACAGCTCCGGCCATTGCGGCTATCTGGGGAGTGAACCAGCAGATGGAAGACCTCTCTCTCTCTTTGTAACTCTGTCTTTCAAATAAATAAAATAGATCTTTGGGAAAAAAAAAGCTTAAGAAAGCAAGAGTAACATTATAACTGAAAGAACTTGTGACATAAAAGAATAAAAGAAGTAGAAATTTTAGGGACACTAACATCCTCACTTATACAGAATTAAGAGGTATAATAGCTATTGTTGTCGAAAAACAATTGTGCATGTTTCCCTTAAAGATGTAAATATTACCAATAATAAAAAAGTCTTTAAATTTTAACAGTAAGGTGCACTGACTTAATCCTTAATTTTTCCTATGCCTACGGTAATCATTTACTATAGCAAGTTCATCACCATCTTTTGTCAGAGTGCAACTCTAGACAGTAATGGATTTTGACATATTAGGGAACAAGAGAGAAATTTTAATATTAGCTGTAGAGTTAGTCAAAACCAAAAAATTAAAAATTAGAAATTTTTATTATTAGAAATTAAAAATTAGAAAAGATATTTTAGAATGTATTATTTTATGTTTTTCTCTCTTGTTCAAAGTTTGTTAATGCCTGTGTGTCTGTGTTTGTGTGTTTTTTACTAAATCATTGACTTACCAACGCTTTCAGTTAAAACTGTCAGCGAAACAATTCCTTTCATTTTGTTGATGGGGAAAGAATGCAGAATTGAGTAGGTTGAGTGAACCATAATATCATTCCCATATGCCTGTGAGAAAAGTTGGCTATAATACATTGACAATTGTTGCATCTGAGAAACATACCGAAACATTTACTATATTGTAAAATCAAACATTATCAAAGTTAAAGAAGTGAAAAATTGAACGGTGATTACTTGGGGCTATCAGGCATGGGACTTTTTTCTGTTGAGGGCCATTTGGATATTTATAACATCATTTGTGAGCTATACAATATTATCAAGTTAAAAATTTGTTAGTAGTGGCTGGCGTCGTGGCATAGTGGGTAAAGTCACCGCCTACAGTGCCACCATCCCATAGGGTACCTGTTGAAGTCCCAGCTCACCACTTCTGATCCAGCTCCCTGATAATGCACCTGAGAAAGCAGTGGAAGATGGTCCATGTCCTTGGGCCCCTGCACCTGCATGGGAGACTTGGAGGAAACTCCTGGCTTCTGGCTTCAGATGGGTCTATTTGGGGAGTGAAACAGCAGATGGAAGACCTCTCTCTCTCTCTCTCACTCTGCCTCTCTGTAATTCTTCCTTTCAAATAAATAAATAAGTGTTTTTGTTAAAAAAAAAAAAAATTAGCCTGCTATAAATTTGAATTTCAAATCCCACTTGTGGTTACCTTGGCACGGTCAGTTCAAATTATTTTCTGGGCTTTATGATGCCCGTCGGCCAGTTGATTCCCACTCCTGGCTAAGGGTTGGGGGAAATGGGGAAATGTTGATCAATGAAAGTAGGTTTAGTCTCATTAGAGGAGCTAATTCTGGGGATCTAATAAACATGCGTGGTGACATACTTTAATTTGCTTGTGGAAATCATTATTCAGTACGTATGTATATCAAATCTTCCCATGGTACACTTCAAATATATTCAATTTATTCATCAATAAAATATCTAAGAACAAGAGCCAGCCTTATGTCTGAGGGTTAAGTAGCCAGCATTCCATATGGAAGTGCCTAGTAGAGTCCCAGCTGCTCTGTTTCCAACTCTTCTTCCTGGTATGCACTTGGGAGAGTAGTGAAGATGGCGAAAGTGCTCGGGTCCTCGCATCCCATTTAGGAACCCTGGATTTAGTTCTTGCCTACTGGTTTTAGCCTGGCCCATCCTTGGCTATTGCAGGCAATTTGACAGGGAACCAGATGATGGATGATCTCTCTCTCTTGCTCTCACTGCCTCTGTCAATCTGTCGTTTGATTAAATATACTAAAAATATTTAAAAATAAAAAAGCTTTAATAAAGGAATTAGGAATAAAATCCTACACACAAACAGCCTTTCTTACCACAGGCATTTTGTGGCATATCATCCAATTCAACAATTCAACAACACACACACATGGAGTACTTTAATTTTTCACAGGATGTAGAAAGATGCCATTCATTTTAAAAATCCATGCCTTTTTACTCATAAATAGATCATATTAATTAGCTCTAATAATTTGATAATATTTATTATTTAGATTTTTGCTTCCTTCACATTTATGTAATTCATAAAAAACAATAATTTAATTTTGAAAGTTTTGCTACTTAAGATGATCTTTTTTCTTGCTTTTTAAATTTTTGAACTGGATTTTCAATAGAGTCAAAGGCTTAATACTCCACTAAATACAGAGTTCAGCAAACAAACCACAAAAATCTATAGTTCAACAGGAATGCAAGCAAGGGCCATCAACAACAATAAATGAGAATATGTCAACTTCACCCATATACAGAAAACTTACATTCTGCATATTTAGCCCAAGCGATTTTCACTAGATAGGATTGTACTTCAAACTATGTGTGGAAAAATGAAATTGAAAAATAGGCTTACATGTCTTCTTAGCTTAGCTTATTTCACTTGACATGAGATATATTAATACAACATATATTTCTCAATAAAGAAAAAAACAAAAAGACAGAAATTTGGATTTTTTCACCATAAAGAAATGTTTGAAAGTAGATATATTTTTCCTGACTAGACATTACACATTGTATATATAAAGCAAAACATTACTTAGTACCCCATTTAAATGTATAATTTTTACATTTTCATTAGATGCTTTTAAAAAATGAAAGAAAAATCTCAAAAAGCGATGTTTATTCTGGTGCAAAATATCATTTAAATCTTAGTGTAGTTTTTCATAATATTCATTTTCTATGAAATTTTGAAATGCCCTCATATATCAGCTTTATTTTTACCTGTAAGTAATCATTTTATTACCATTATTGCTTCTGTGTAGTTAAGCAATGGAAAGGCAGCATATGTTTTCTGCCTATCTACAGCCTGTGGTTGGCATCCATCCCACTTAGGATACTCAAGTTGAATAATTGATGATATGTGTCCTATTTGATTTTGAAGAAATTACATGTTACAAGTAGCCCATTTGCTTTTGCTTCAACTAAGCAAAAGGAGAAAAAAATGTGTTCGATTTTATTTGAGTTATTTGGAATACAAATTTTGCATTTCTATTTATCACTGCTTTTAAAATAAGAGTGTAGCCAGGCTATTTAAGCATTGCTATTAATGGAGAACAGGCTTTCAATTTTAAATATCCCAAAGGGGACTGTATTAAAGTTTTATTGTTATTTTGGAATTCAGAAATCACATATTCAACAAGCAGCATCTTTAGATTTCACAGGTGTTCAGTGCACATGCTGATAAATAAATGCAATTCTTGGATACCCAGCAATTGACATTCACTTTGCTGAGCTAAAATTAACGAAAAAGACAAATAAATCCTGTTGGTCATTGGCTAGCATTGTCACGAATTGGTCATGTCAATGATGCATGGCTTCATCTAAGTATAGAAACTACCATAAGTAATTTTGAATAGCTGAAATTACAGACAGCACTTAAAGGAGTCCAGCATAATCAAAACACAGTAACATCATACCTTAGTGAAAAACTGAAAATTAAATTATTCCTTTAAAGAAGCTGAAAACTGTTAAGTCATCAAGGCTATTTGTAGCTGTGATTTGCACTGAATAACCCCATGATTAATTCCATCACTGCCTCTTTCTCCTGCTCCCTTATCAAAAAATAATATCTTCTTCGAACAGATATATGAGAAATCCCTAACAAAGCAAGCAAGGACATGGGGGAAGAGGCAGAAACCAAGGCAGATATAGTGTGGTTGCTCTGCTGCGCATTTCCTTTTGTGTATAAAGCCTATGTATCTAATCACACTAAAAAGTTTTAAAAGTTCTGTCCTGACTTCTTATAGTAACTTATAAATAAATAACAGCTAATAGGATAAATGAAAATTGCATTATTTACAGAAGACAAGGGAACGATTTCCTTTTCTTCCTTTTCTTAGGAATTTCCTTGGAAGCAAACTTAATCTGAGCTCATAATTTAACATTTAGAATGGAGATAAATCTCTGAGGATTGACTCATTACCGATTTTTACAATGTGGAGACATCTCCAAGTTCCAAGCTGTCCTCTCTAAACATGCAAATACACACCTCCAGAATTAACTCAGATATCTCTCATGGCGTATACAGGAAACTATCAGATGGTGCAGCCATACATGACTCAAGAAAATAAGAGAAATTGTGCTTTCCTGTGCTTTGCTGTATACTATATGCTCAATTTTCTTTTAAAATCATAATCACTTTCAACTATACATAAAGTATTCAAAATTTAAGTAGTTGATGCCCACCTACATGTGTCCTCATCCCTATGTACAAGGACTTATGCATGTGAGATTCAGCATTATCTGATAAAACAAAAGACTCCAAGCAATGAAATATTCATGAATCGAAAATTAAAGATAAATTATAAAACAATAAAAATGCAATCACAGTGTCTTTTATATTTCGCAGTATCAAAAGTAGAGATGGAAAGTTAATTTGATTATGAAGCTCAAAAGCCACTTTGTATGTGTGTAGCTCAATTCATTAATTATTTTAAAAACAAGTCATGCATAATTTCATTGTTATTAAATTATTTTGTATTATTTATTCCAATATTTCAAATATAACATCTATTGCAC